ACACAGATCAGTCTCGTCTACCGAGAGCAACTTAAAGAGAGAGAGAGAGAGACGGGAGATCTTTCAGTCTGTTAGGCGACTGCAGAGTCTAGAAAGCAAACCACAAGTTTAAGAGCGGCAAAAAAAAACATCTCATTGGCTAACTGTGAGGGATACTTCTTTTGTTCAAGCGTATCAATGTATAGCTAGAAATCATCAGTATGCTCACCTATTACTTGCCAGCAAAACTCTGAACATGTGCATCATCGAACGATGACAAGACCAAAATGTCATATCTACGGTTGCGAAATCCGTCAGAATCATAGTTGCCTGTGAAGACACAGGTTGCACGGGCTACTAGTGTAAGTACGTGTGAAAGGCACGGTCCTGTCAACGGGAACCTCAATCTCTTTTCGGACGCAGGGTGTCTCAAAATGGTGGCTTTGGTTGTACTGGCCAAATAATGACAAGTTGTAAACTAAGTTATCATACAACGCCAAGGTAAACAGGCTCAACAAGAGGGAAACACTTAAAGAATAATCTGCCTGGAACTCCATGCAACTCTACAGAGAACACCTAATTACAGATTGCTGACAGACTACTTCTGCTATATTGCACGATTGAGAAGCTGGGAGTCGGAGCAGTTTACAAACGATCAACTTCTTCCTGTCAGGAGTTTGCATGCAAAAGCACAGAAAAACAAATACTTAATTTCAACTCACGAACTACACGTATAGTTCCAGCCACTTGGGACTGTCCGTTTTCATTCGCAGCCTTGATTGACAAGCGGAAGTTTTGGCTGGGCTTCAACGGACCGACAGTCACTTCCACCTTTCGACCCTCCTTATCATCGCCTGACACAGTGAACTGAATTTTCAACTGACTGATTGGTTTATTGGCCAGATCGAGGGCATTACTGAGACGTCGACGCAAGTCCTTTGTTGTCTGGCCTTCTATTCCATTGACGCCCACCTTGATAGAAGAGACGCCAGGGTTGACTTTGCATTCCGTTCGATACGTCTCATCCTCCATGACGTAAAATAGGTCATCCATACAATCAACGTCCTGAAATTTAGGTGGACCAACCACGGCGACGTTGAAGACAAATGTCAAAGCTGGTGAAGTCGGATTGGTTACTTCCAACTTGTATTCCCCGGCAATGGCCCGACTCACTTTGTTAGGCAGACGTAAACCATAATCCTGGACACTAGCACCGGTCAGTTGTTGACCATCCTTGTACCAAGAGGAAGCGGTATTTTTGCCCGCGTCCCCTGCGGGTCGCCTATAAAAGGCCTGCAACTGGAAATTATTGAGCGTGGTGCCATCCAAGAACTGGAAGTCAAGTGACTGTGGTGAAAGAGCGACCAGACGATCAGCCTGCTCCACTG